ATAACTAGAGGAATTCTCTTTTAAAAATGTTTAAAAAAACTCCTGATTTTAATTTCAGTAGCTCTTTTTCTCACAAAGAAAATAAGATCATTTATTCCTTGTTCCCATATCCACAGATGTCTTTTGTAAGATAGCTACTGTTTTGAACAATATTCTTTTGATAATTATTAACCAGCTCAAATTCAAATCCAGTTAGTTAATTAGTTAAAATTCCAAATAGATGAATTTTCCAATACTCTTTCGCAAATTTAAAGATTAATTGGGTTTTAATCTCAAAGGTTTTAGAAATTTTGTCATATATATATTCATATATATTTAATGAAGGCATTATTTGTAACTTTAAATGTCCCATAAACATAACCACCTACAAAGTATTAATAACAAATTTTACAACAGTGGGTACAAAGGGCTGTTTTAATTCCACATACTTTCCTTAAGTACCTGTTACTAGTCATAATTCGTAATCATAGGCTACTGAAAATGAGTGAAATGTGTCCCTCCTCCAAGACCCTTAAAGTCTGTACAGGTGAACACGTCTTCTTTGACATTAAGCTCCGTAAGCACAAACATCAGGTCTGTCTTAATATCCCCAGGACGTAGCACAGTGCCTGACACATAGTAGGTGCTCAAGTTTTATAGAGGGGATGAATGAGTGAAAGAACATGTGAATGAAAAAGCATCCCCTCAAAAGAATGTACTAGTAAAGTTAAAAAGCAGTGATGTGTTATCAATAGTCATTTTGAAGGTTCTAGTTACTTAATATGAACTTCCCTGTTCCTTACTATGAGTGGATTTTGGTTGGTGAGAACATACAGGATTCAGTTATTTGGCTGACATAAAATCATAAAGTATCTTAAAAACCTGCAGTTTTTCTCAGTGTCCTCTGGATGGAGCTCCTGTGTAGTTTTCATTAAGAATACAAAGTTTCAGATGGCATGGGCATTATCATTTTTCATGGGAAGGCTCAGGATTGTCACCAGGCTTCTTCACTGTTTTTCATATAGGGCTGTGTAGTTCACTTGTCTCTGGATAGATTGCAGAAATAAACTTGTTCTTTGCTAGAAAGTCAGATAAGGTAAAAATAAAAGCATACTATTGATTTGATTTCTTATTTTATATTCAGAATAAATCTGTGAATTCAGAGAAGGGAAGAAAATTAAATTATTTGTGAATGACAACTTTCAGTTTCATTCCAGTTTCACTAATTTGCTTCGAAGCAGTTACTTTCCTTGCTAAATTTCTTCATTGATTGATTCCACTGCCATGGTGTATAATATGACATTTGTTTGGATGTACATCAAAACTAGGAGGGTGCCCTGCTGTTTAGAATTTTCAGGTGTAATTATGGATACTATGTGAACTCTCTCTGAAGTGTTTTTTTTAATTGAAATTCTTGCGCTGGCAGTCAGAAAATGAACTAAGGGCCTGTGGGTAAAGGGATGGAGGTGGATTTCTGATGAACCAGAATAATGTCTAATTTTTAAAAAAAATTTCTTTAACTATATAAAGTAGCAAACAGTAGCAATCTCCTTATGGGTACACCTTTATATATTTTAATAGTAAGATGGACAAGTTAGGCCCTCCACTTCGAACTGGAAGAAATGTGCAAAGGTTGTATGACAGTGATACAAAATCAGACAGTGCCATCCAAAGACATGAGTTATTACCCATTTGCAAGTAAGTATTTGTAACTCAGTTTGGTTAATCTTTTTCAGATGTTTCCTTAAAAGGCTTTGTATACTGGGATACCGTAACTTGTACATTCCTTTATTTTTAAAACCTTAGTTTAGTTATTTTTTTAATAAAAAAATTCTAAATAATTATTTAAGACAAAGTATTTTGATTTTTTGGTGAACATTACTAATCTAAATAAAGCTGTTTTTAGAGCACACATTTTAGTCCATTAAATTTTTATTTTTGAAGTGTTGAAATAGCAGTCTCCATCAATAATTGTTATTTTTATGAAGCATTTTTGAAGTAGTATTCTTAAAAAGAAGAGTATGAGGGATAGTGTGCTATTGGTATTAGGTAATAGTGGTTTTCTTTAGCTAAGCAAATGATGAATTACTATTAAAAAGCCAGGAAAAAAAAAGCATTCAATCTAGAGAACCTCAGGCTTTTTGTTAAACAGTAAAGGGGAGGGTGTAACTGCCAGGCACACTCCTCTCTGTGATCTGGTAGCTTAGCAAATACGCAGAGGAGTGAGTGTGTCCTGGTGGTCATTTTGGAACTTTAACAGAGAAGGCTTCGAGGCTTGGCTGGTTTGGACCCCAGTACTGGGTCTAGCCCTCTCATTTTAAAATGATGAAATCAGGGCCTAAAAAATTTAATACTTAATAAAGCCAAAAATTAAATTACTAAACAAAGTCAACTTTTTAACCAGTGCCTACTACAGCATTCTTTTTACCACATATAAAAATTAATAATAAATATAACTATATATACAATAAAACAAGGATTGGAAAAAATCTTTGAAATGTCAGCAACAACCATGTGTTAGTTTTACTTAGTGATAAATTCCAGAAGAAAAGTATTGATCTGTGAGCCTTTTTTCCTTGTCTTACTGTAATTATCTGTACCTCTGAAGCAGATCTCAAAGAAATAATAGCATATTAGTGCAATTCTAAAATCAAATTTTCTTTTACTATTTGAGCTATAACAGGCAGACTCTAGGTGTAGAGTTAGGGTAGAGGTAACACTTTGGACTCTAGCTAGGAGGAAAAGTGTGTTGACTGTGAGATTTGGGCAACATCTTTTTAAGTATTCATCAAGATAGATAGTTCTTCCAGTTCTCATAGGAATGGTTCTTGTCATTCAGATTCAGTAGCACTTCTTTAGCAATTTGTAAAAAATATTACTAAAAATAAATGATAGGCATTTAATAATGTTGTTGTTGTTGTTGTTATGTGCCGTCGAGTCGGCCCCAACTCATAGCGACCCCTCCTTGGGTTTCCGAGGCAGTTATCACTACAGAAGTAGGATTGCCCAACCTTCCTTCCGAGGAGTGGCTGGTGGATTTGAACCGCCAGCCTTCTGGTTAGCAGTCAAGTGCCTTAGGCACTATGCTACCAGAGCTCTTAATGTTGATAATCTCATATTTTTCTCAAAATCTAAACATTTTGGATAACTTTAAATTATTGGTACAGTGAAGTTGTATGTATGGATAGATGGATGTGTTTTTGTAACCCATTTACCTGTTATATAAAGATGATAGGATTTCTATGGAGCCTTTATTCCAGAGCCAAAAATTGTACTTTCTCTTCCTCTATTGACTCTCTCCAGAGGAATTCCCATTCACGGCAATGAACATTTAGGGAACTAGTTCCTAAAGAGGCACTATAGCTGTTTTGCAACACCTTTAGAGAGTTGTGTAAAAGCAGCTTCATGGAGGAATTTAAAACTGAATATCTGAAGACCACTTGAGGAGATCAAGGGCCACCTTTGGTTTTGAAGGTTAGAAATGACAATTTAAAGAAGTAACTACTCAAAGTAGCTTTTATTTGAATGGCAGCATTGCATACTGCTGAATATGAGCTTCAGAATACAAACCACGAAGGTTCAGGTACTGTACCAGATCATTACTATGCAATTTACTTAATCTTTCTGAACCTGAGTTTCTTCACCTTTAAAATGGGAATAATATTTTTTGATGTTTTCGTGAGGATTAAACAGAGTGACACCATATTTGGCATGTGGTAGGTATTTGAAAATAGTAGATGGTGCTATTACCGGCGTGCATTTTGAAGGTAGCTATTTAAAATTTTAAGGCATTTTCTTCAGCTTTGCTATATAAATAGAACAGGAAGAATTTCAGCCAAGTTGAAGAACTTTCAATCTAAAGGAATTCCTAAAAGTATTATGTGTCATGTAACGCAATGTTGCTTAGCTGTGAAATGAAAAGTTTTGACTACATCTTTAAAGAGAGTGAAAGGAACTAATGCTTTATTGAGTGTATGAACCCTGGAAATTACTTGCCGTGTCACCTTGGTTAAGTTACTTAATCGCTCTTTGCCTCATTTACTTTATCTGTGTAGAACTGTAAGGATTAAATAAGTTAATATATAGAAGGCAATTAAAGAAATAGCAGACAGTAAGCACCATTACAGAAATTCCTACTGGTAATAGTAGCAATAGCAGCAGTAGTAATAATGATAGATCATTAGCAACTAACCAAATGTTTTATTTAAATCTCAATCTATATCCCATAACATTCTTATAAGTGATGGTGGTCATGTGTTATAAATAAGAGAACTTGGTTTCAGAGAGGTTGACCACTATCACAAAGAGTCAGTGGCTGCTGGGATTTGAATCCGGATCCATCTGAATCCCGAAGTCTATATATACTTTTACCATTATATCATGGTATGTTCTTCTAAGCTTTCTTTGATTCCTAAATATTTTCAAAGGGAATTCAGTCATGATCTAACCAAAATGCTGCCTCTTCTAATAATATCAGATGGTCCAGGCTGTGTATTTGGTGAAATTAAATCTTTAAAGAAGGTTATAGTAACCCAATCATTGTAGTTGCATTTTCCAAAAACAGACTTTCAAAAATTAAAATTATTTTGTTAATGTGATTAACTAATTTTTTAAACCATATTTTATAAGCTTGGATAATAAACTTGTTTAATGTATTATTTAACAGTTATGCATACACATTGAACAAAACATTTTTATTTTGAGGGAACTGTTTATTTAGGATTTAAAAAATATTTGCGACCTTTCAGAATTATTAACTTAAAATTTTCATATAAAGCCATGTATACATGTTTTAATTGACTTTTATACACATTCAGGATGTTAGTTAATGCAAAATGCCTTGGTTTATCTTTAGTATTAACTCTGTTTTCAGACTTAAAATAATTATTTCTGTTTTCATCTTTTATACTTACCTCTCAACATCTTCTGATTATTTTTCTAATCATGAAAGTAGGCAATTTGAGAAGGAAAATTGACTATTCAACACTTTTTTCATCATACTATTTTTTCCTGTCTTATAGAACTAACATCAAATCTCGAAATACCACACCACCTAGTTTGGCAAGAAATCCTGCCTCAGGTGTGCCTACAAGCAAAAGAAAAACATATACTGAGAGCCACATAAGCAGGTATGTTTAGCTTTGCTATCATAATAACTTTGATTGTGAGGATTGTGCGTGACTGGACAGTGTTTCATTCTTTTTCACAGAGGATCATTATGAGTTAGAGTCGACTCGAGAGCACTTGGCCACAATAACATCAGGATAACTAAAATAATGATTGTATGTAATTTTCCAAGGACTATATACCAAAATATTTATCTGTCTCTTTAATCTTTCTTTTGCTATGTAATCTTAACTGTTCTTTTAATATATATATATTGAAGGATTAGTTTGATCATAAATATTTTCCCTATACCTTGTAGTTAGAATTATAGTTGTAAATGCTCAAAGACAGTTCATATGCATAAATAAAGTACAGTGAGATACAATAGTTAAAAAAATGAAGAACAATAGGGAAGAAAAGGAAAAATAAAACTTGAAAGATACCATGGAAGCATTTGAAGTTAATCCATAAAATATGTGCCATGAAACCCTGTACATAGGCTGGGCCTGGGCAACAAACTGGGATCTAAGCATTGTCGCAGCCAGTATACAGGAGAAGAGAAGAATAGGCATGTGTGATTCGTGACATCTATAAAAAAATAAAGGACATTTTTCTGGTGAAGCACAGCTAGCCCTAAGGCCTCAAATTTTTTCCTATGGTTTCTTATAAAGATGATAATGTAATGGGTAACTTGTTAATTAACATTCCTACTGTAAATATGGAAATACATTGCATAGTTTTTTTTTTTTGTTTTTTTTTTTTTAAATAACTCTATAATAGTTTAATTATGATTTAAATCAGGCATAGATTTTTGAACATCTAGAAGCTAGCTCTCAACCCTGGCTGCTCATGAGAGTCACCTGTGGAGCTTTCTAAACACAACATGTCCAGGTTCTTTCCAGAGATTCTCCTTGCTTTGGCTTGGAGGTTGGGATCTGGGCAGCTACCATTTAAAAACCTTCAGGAGTAATGATTATGCACAACAAGGAATGAAACTGTAGAGGATAGATGGATTACTGTCTTTCCAATTAGATTCTTTAATAAATAGTCTGTTCCACCTGAGATTTCGAACACTTTAAATATCAAAGAAGTGAGCTTAAGCTTCTTAAAGTACTGGAGTGTAGCTGTGCTATGTTGTTGTGTATGTCTGGAGTCATGTTTTGAATCAGAACTGATTGAAAATTATTTAAAACTTTAAGAAAATGGAGAATTTATAAGTAACCTGTGCTTGACACATATTTTTGAACACATATCCAAAGAGGTGGACAAAAGATGTGCCTCGAGCCAGGGGCAAAAAATCACATTAAGAAACAATTTTGAATTCTTTTTATTTCTTAGTTATCTAGTGCTACTATAACAGAAATACCACAAGTGCGTGGCTTTGCAAACCAATTTATTCTCTCACAGTTAAGCTAGAAGTCCAAATTTAGGGCACTGGCTCTAGGGAGAGGCTTTCTCTTTCCGTCAGTTCTGGGGGAAGGTTTTTGACTCTTTTCAACATCTCTAGGCCCAGTATTCCTTGGAGATCTCCATGTGTCTTAATCTGTTTATAGGGACCCTGGGCCCAAAGAATGTGCTCATCTCCTGGCTCTTCTTCTGGTGGTAATAGGTGTCTCTGTCCCTTCTCACTTGTTTATGTCTTTCATATCTCTTTTTAATCTCTTTTATATCTCAAGCCTGGTTCTGTAGATTGCATCCTGCTTTATTAATGTAACTGCCTCTAATCCTGCCTCATTATATTAGAGATTAGGATTTACAACACACAGAATAATTACATCAGATCAGCACATAATACTGAGTCATGGCCTAGTCAAATTGACATTTCTTTCTGGAGGTCGTATTTTAGTCCATAACATTCTATCCTTTAGCCCCTCAAAATCTATGTCCTTGTCACATGTAGAACATATATTCACCCCAATGTATCAACCTAAACGTCTTAACCCAAAATTTCCTGGGGCAAAATTCCTCTTCATCTGTGAACTTGTGAAAACTAGAATACAGGTTATCTATTTACAAAATACAGTGGTGGAATGCCAGCAACAAGGTAGACATTTCCATTACAAATGGGAGAAATTGGAGGGAAATTAGGAATAAGAAACACTTGTTGTTGTTGTTGTTATGTGCCATGAAGTCGGCCCCGACTCATAGCGACCCCTCCTTGGGTTTCCGTCCTTCCGAGGAGTGGCTGGTGGGTTTGAACTGCCAGCCTTCTGGTTAGCAGTCAAGTGCTTTAGCCACTATGCTACCAGAGCTCCTAAGAAACACTAAGGAAGTGAAAAACCCAGCAAAACAGTTTACATTAGCTCTCAAGGCTCAAAAATAATCCTTTTTCACTGAGGTCATATAGACAGTGACCCTGCCCTCCAGACTCTGGGTGCTGGCCACACTGTCTGGACTCTGGATGGAGGCCCCTTGGGCCGGGGCTTCACCTCTGTCTTCCAGGCTCACTGGGATGGCAACTCTGCTCCCTTGGCTTTGGGCAACCCCATTCACCCAGTCCAGTGAATGATGACCCACTTCTTTGGCCCCAGCAGGCTCCATTCTTCTGCCCTTTGGGTATGGCAGCCCTACCCCTTTAGCTTTGGGCAGTGGCCCCAGCCCCGTCACTGGACACTCATGAACAGCACGCAGCCCCATCCTCTGGAACCAAGTTCATGAAGATCTGAGTCTTTGGAACCATAGCCTCACCCTTTGAGACCTAGCATGCCTTGACTCCACCCTTTGAGACCCCAGAGGTCATCGCCCTACCCTTTGATACTGAGGCAGCTTTGCTTCCCATGTTCCTTGTCTCTTAGCTTTTGCTTTCTGGTTCCTTCTCAGGCCCTTGCCCCATAGGCCTCTTGGGCCAGGCCAGTCTCTGCTTGATCAAGCAAGTGTTAGGAAAATCTATAACTCTACCAATAGGTGCCTGGAGGCATCCCATTCCGCCAGTAAATCTTGGCCCGAGGAGCTCAGCTCTCCCATTCCCCTCTGTGGGTCAGTAAGCCTAGCTCTATCTGCAAGGGCCTGGAGGTACCCGACTCTGCCATCAAGCCTCCTGCCTGAAGGTGCTCAGCTCTTGCTCTGTGAGTGGGCTTCTACTCTGTCTCACACCAGTCTCCTAGTTCTGCCACCACTGTTTGGCTGCTGCTGCCTCTGCTGCTTGTCATCTGCACCATCTCCCGTCTTACAACTCTCTTCGCTTCGTTCTGAGCCCTCACCACCATTACGTTGGCATCCATAATTCCCCCAACAGTCTCTTCAAGGCAACCTAGGCTTTTACGATTAGATACTGAAAACCCTTCCAGCCTCTACCTATTACCCAATTCCAAGACTGCTCCCACATTTTAGGTATCTGTTAGAGCAGCACCCTGCTCTTCTAGTGCCAAATTCTGTGTTTTTTTTAGCTTATGCTGCTATAACAGAAATACCACAAGTTGATGGCTTTACAAACAAATTTATTCTCTCACAATTTACAGACTTAGAAGTCCAAATTTAAGAGCTAGCTCTGGGGAGTGCCTTTCCCTGTCAGCTCTAGGGGAATGTCCTTGACCACTTTCAACTTCTCTGGGCCCAGCATTCCGTGGAGATCATCAGGTGGCTTGATCTACTCCTGGGTCTAGGAGCTTCTCAGTGCAGGGATCCTGGGTCCAAAGAATATAATCCACTCCAGGCTCTTCTTTCTGCTGGTATTAGGTCCCTCTGTCTCTGCTTGTTTAATGTCTTTTATATCTCAGAAAAGATTGACTCAAGGTACAATCTAATCCAGTATTCTATCTTGCCTCCTTAATATAACTGTCTCTAATCCTGCCTCCTGAACACCATAGAGATTTGGATTTATAACACATAAAATAATTACATCATATCACTAAATGGAGGATAATTACATAATACTGAGAGTCATGGCCTACTTAAATGGACACGTATTTTGAGGGGACACAATTCAATCCATAACACTACTTTTTTTAAAAATTTTTTTCTCTTTTTCTTTCTTTTTAAATGGTTGATATCTGATGGGAAGCCCAGAGCCATGCTCATCTCACTTCTTCTTACTACCCTGGCCCTTATCCTAGATAAAAATAACTAGAACCATAATAGATAAAGAAATTGCAGAGATTTCTGGTTGTGGTAGTGTGTACACTACATATTCTGGAAGATCCTTCCACTAAAAACACCTAGAAATGCTGGATGAAATAGAATATACATCTCATTGAATGCATGGCTGAGCTCTCAGAAAAGTAAGGGAACTTCAGGGAACAAAAATGGAAAGGAAGCTAGATTGACTTAAAAAAAAAAAAAAAAACTAACACTGCAGCTATATTTGAGGTTTTTGACTGATCTTCATGATCTAGAGACTTGGGTTTTAATGTCATCCTAGGAGAGGAGTTGAGTTCTTGGACTCTTATAGACTAGAGCATTAGTAACTCAACTTCCCCATCCCTACCTTGCATGCCTCTCACTCTAAGTTCTGCAGAGGATCTTGCTAGGCATATTTAGAGAGAATTACATGACTATAGACCATCACATTTGACACTGGAATCATTTCTTGGAAATACAGAATAATAGAAGCATGTCATCAAATATTTCCCTTCCATGGAACCCTTGCCCTCCAGGCAGTCCTGGAGCTAATCTTTGGCCCTCCAAATGATAGTTCAGGTGTGAGAAGAGGAAATACTGTAAGTGGATGTGGAGCCAACTTAACTAGAAGTCTCATGTCCCCAAAACAACCATAATTGCTTGTAACAATCTTATAGACATAGCTTCAAGGTCACCCCAAGGGATGATATATCTAGTTTCAAGGGACTGCCTATAACCTCTGTTGCCTGGAAACACAGCTGACATTGCACCTTTATTAACTTGCATTAAAACAAAGTTAAGAAGTCATCTCAGGTTTTCATAGAAAAGGAGAAAGAGTTTTACTAACACTTTCTCACAATACCAAGAGATACCCCTCAGTAAAAGATGGATTAAGGGAAAAACAGTCCACCAACTGGAATAGGAAATCCCAAGGAAACTTGTCTGTCTCAGCCATGTCTTAGAGGGATGTGAGTATTCCCCTTGATAATTCTTAACTACAGGTTCACCTTCACATGAGTTTAAGGTTTGAAAATACAGTGTCAGCATATTATAACATTCTTAACTGGAAAAATAACTAAAATGGTCTCAGGTTAGTAGCTTCTTGTTGTTATGTGCCGTTTAGTCGGACTCGACTCATAGAGACCCCTCCTTGGGTTTCTGAGACAGTATCACTATGGAAGTAGATTGCCCAGCCTTCCTTCCAAGGAGTGGCTGGTGGGTTTGAACCGCCAGCCTTCTGTTAGCAGTCATGTGCCTTAGGCACTATGCTACCAGAACTCCTGGTGGCTTCTCAGGAGAGGCAAAAACCATTCCTGTTTGGTGTGAAATGCTCTCAACCCAGACTCCCCCGTTCTCACAGATGAATCTAATAATCAGGACTTCACAATTACAAATAACAGCACACAAGGAGATCCCAAGCTACACCTAGAAACAAGCAACCAGTAATGGATATGGGTTAGCAGAAAACAAAAATTTAAATTTGAAGTATTTAAAGAAATGAGAGAGGGAATTGAAATTATTAACATTGACAAACTACTGCCATTAAAAGAGTATGTTTTCAAAAGAACTAAATAAGACTTCCCAACATAAGAAAAAAGAATGAAATTACTAATAAGGATGGTTTATTTTCTCTTGGCATACTTCCTTGATTGAGGTTATATGTCTTCTGATTCCTTACTGTCTTTATGGGTTAAAGGGATTTTGTTTATTATTATAAATATGTTGTCCATATCTAAAGGATGTCCACTGATTCAGATTATAGTGACTCTGCAGCTCTGTCATGTCACTGAAAAGATAGGAGACAAAGTATGGAACATAACATGCTAGCATTTGGCTTTATGTACTGAATTTTTAAGAAAGTCCAGTGATTATTTTTTTTCAATCACCCCTGAACTGCTTGCACAAAAGAATTCTGCAACAGTTATTTCCCTTTATGGTGACTTTCTGAGAGGGAATATAAATATGTTATTTTAATAACAAATATCTCTGCTTACAATTTAGCTCTGGTAGCATAGTGCCTAAGGCACTTCACTGCCAACCAGAAGTCTGGTGGTTCAAACCCACCAGCCACTCCTCCAAAGGAAGATGGGGCAATCTACTTCCATAGTGATACTGCCTCGGAAATCCAAGGAGGGGTCACTATGAGTTGGGTCTTACCCGACGGTATATAACAACAACAATTTACTAAAAATTTCATCAGTGGAATCTATTTCCTCCATGGCTGCCTTCTGTGATAAGACCCTTATGATATCAGTTGTTTTTCTCTAAACTCTTATTCTAGAATCTGTTTTACCTTCATGGAGATACCCTGTGACTCAAGCTCACCCTTTCAGAGCATACATAGAGTCTTGTTGAATATTTACTGCATTGCAATAATTTAATTGAACAGTGAAATTAAAATGAATAAGAAATACTGTGGGTATCATTTGGCAATTCTTATGACCAGATAGAAAGACTTTTCTATTCCCATTGTGGTGGTGGTGGTGGTGTTATGTGCCGTCGAGTCAGCCCCAACTCATAGTAAATGGAAAAAATCCTATCAAGGACAAGTAAAATACTCATGAAAACATTCAGAAGTACAGTATTGACTAACAAGTGTTCCTTTTTTTTTTAAAGTGTAAACTAGAGGAATATTAAAATGAGTTTAAGTAATCTTTTGGTAATACTGTCTCCTGTTTCCCAGGCCTTATGGGTTGAAAACTACTCATGTGTATTTTGTTTTTCTACTTTCTTTCTGTACTTCTTCAGGCCAGATGGAGACTACCTATCTTCATTTAATGGCGGAAACATTAAAAGCAGTGATGGAAATTCCTCTGGGCACTTACCAAAATTCTGCCATGAATGTGGGACCAAATACCCTGTAGAGTGGGCGAAGTTCTGCTGTGAATGTGGCATTCGAAGAATGGTTCTGTGAACAAATCCAGGGTCTGGAATTGTATGACTCCAGCTGTTTGGATGCTAGAACACTTCTTGTAGTTATTTTGTGCTGCAAATATTCAAAATAGCTTTTTCAGTAGTTTTTGAAGCATTATCCTTTGGCTATGTAGTGTGTGTGTATATATATATGTATATATATTGTATATAATAAATACGTGATACTCCATTCTGTGCCATTCATGGAAATGTTCACTTACCTGTCAGAAAATAATTTTAAATTGAATCAGTAGCTTAGTTATTGATTTCTTTGTCGTAGTGTGAAAGCACATTAAGTGTACTTCCCTTAACTGAAATTCTAGTACTTAGTCCTTCAATCTTTAGGATGATCATTACCTTGAACAAAAAAAGCAGAATAAACTTTAAATATATTCTTTTTATTGGTGCCCGTTTTTGAATAATATCACAATAGGATGGGATGTTGGAAATTTGTATTTAAAGAAATGATTTGTAGTCACAATTAGTTATGTCAGATCATCTTCCTGCAGAGCTCTTGAGCACCTAGCTTTATAAATCTTAAAAAATAAGAGCAAAAAAACCCCAACAACATGAGGTCTATGTTACCTTTACTTAGTGTATTCCTAACAATATGAAATAATTTAATATTCTTAATATTTTTGAAAATGTAATTAAAGTTTCCTTTTCAGATAAACAAATGAAAATATGACTATATCTTACTCCATTTATAACTGATTTTTAATTCTGTGTATTAAACTACTTTCATTTGTCTCCAAATTTTGCATTTTTCCTTCTTTCCCATAATTCCATATCTGAATAGTAGTCTTAATATACGACTACATTTTTGCAAGATTTGAATATACAGTTATTTAATGGACAACACAGAATTCCTTGCAAAATCTTACATGTTGAAAAAATATTTTCTTTCTATATGTCTAATTTAGAAGAAAGTATTTTAACAGATTTTCAAACAAGCCGCATCAGCTAATAAGTAATAATTGTGGTAATGAATCATTAGTGCAGAGCATGCAGATGAAAAGTATTGAATTTTAGTCCCTGGAAGTAAAGTTAGATGTAGTTTTGAGAAGGTTAACAGAATGGCAGACTTTCCCTACTTCTATTTTGTTCAGTAGTGCTTAGTGTGGAAGCACCATTTACATCACAATAGAAAGCCATGGAAAATGTATTGCTATAGTTAATGGTTGATTTATTCTGTAATTAAACATACACAAATATTTAATTAGAGTTTCTCCTTAACTTTGACTTAAATGTAGCTTTTAATCATTGTCAATCCCAGTGGAATACAGTATTTAGTAATAGATCTCTTTGATTGCTTATGTAGCCATATTCAGTAATTGGGCAGCAATTTTCTTGTCGAGCTTGAATCTTATTTGCAAGGTACACAAAAGTCTTTAATTTTTCAGGAAGTCTCTAACTTCTTGTTTATGATTGTCATCAGCTGTGAGGATGTGTGGCTTAGAATGTTTTAACTCTGAAATTTATTTATACATTACAGAAGTTTATTCTTTTTTTTTTTTTAAACATTTGGACAGAGGATATAGGCTTAGTGGTAATGAATCATTTTACATACCTTATGATTTCTTTCCTGATTTTCGTTAAGTGGTTTTTAGTTTCTTTGTTTTTCATGGTTATCGTTACTCAATCATATTGGGCAAAAAAAAAAAATCGGATGAAACTGGTCCAACAACTAGAATAAACTAATAAATTTAGTAGACTGATGTACATATTAGAATTACATTTCAATAATTTATTTTCTCTCAATTGTTACAACTCATAAGGAAAAATATCAAACTTCTGTTTGTCAAGAACTGAGCACTATTTTCTTTCAAGTATCATTTGTGAAGCCACATGATTTTTTTTTTTTAATCTGTAAAGAAAAGGGTAGATGATTGAGTTTAAATTAATTAAACTGGCACGGATGTGTTTCTCACTAAATTATATAGTAACAAATAAATGTTTAAATGTTCTACATGGAAAATGAATTTGTAAGAAATCATTCGATTCCAGATCCCAGAGATCATAATGAACAATAAGTAGGTGAAATATTTATGAATTATGAAACTTGTGACAATATTATTTAAACACATTTTTATATTATTTTCACATTAGTTTCTTGTGCAATAGTTAAGTTTTTAAGAAATTTTCTTAGATCTATGCATCATTTATTATTTATTTCCAAAAGTATTGGTCAATGTTGTAGGATAAAAAGTAATTTTAAGCTCGTATTTAAAATGTAAAAATTGCTTATATATTATTCTGAAAGTTATTAACTTGCAAAAACAAAATTACTGTAACTACTGTTGTCTGTTATCCATTATATATGTTTTTTTTTAATTGCAAATAATGTCTTCATTTTGAACCTCTTCAATAAAGACATGAAGCATAAAAATGCTGACTGGTGTTCATTGATGTCTTCTTTCAGCCAGCTACATGTGGAAAGATGGGAACACATGAAAATATTTTTCAGAATATTTAAAGTTAGAAAGGCAAATTTTTCTATTAGGAAACAGGTTTCCATTGATTATTTTTTTAAGGCATTGGCCTTTTGCACGAGTTAATGCTATTTTGCTGGATGAAAGTGTTTCAGAACTTAGAAATATCATAAATTATACCTAATTTATGTATATATATGTTTTTGCTACAAGTTTTTCAAAGCATAGAAGCATTCTCCTTATGGCCAGTAAAATTTAGCATTTGAAAACATTATTGAGATCAATGTTGATGGCAAATATTATGGATGTTTCTAGCTAAGTAATAAACAATGACAAAAAGCTAGTAATTTGTGATAAATATTTAGACCATCATATTTAAAATTGTAAAAAAAAAAAAAAAAATGTGGCTATCTCTAGTGAAAATATGGCCAGATTGTCATCGTTACAGTTGTTAGGTGCAGTAGAGTCCCTTCTGACTCATAGCAACCTTATGTATGACAGAAAAGGCAGGCCCAGTCCTGCACCATCCTCAACATTGTTGCTATGTTTGAGCTCATTGTTACAACCACTGTGTCAATCTGTCTTGAGTATCTTCCTCTTGTTTGTTGACCCTCTGCCAAGCTTAATGTCCTTTTCCAGGTAGTGGGCCCTACTAATAACATGTCCAAAGGACATGGGACAAAGTTTCATCATCATCACTTCTAAGGAGCATTCTGGCTATACTTCTTGCAAATCAGATTTGTTTGTTTTTCTGACGGTCCAGGGTATATTCAGTTTTATTCACAAACACCATAAATTAAATGAATAATTTTTTTTGGTCTTTCCAGCTTTCACATGCATAAGAGGCAATTGAAAATAACATAGTTTGGGTCAGGAGCACCTTAGTCCTCAAAGTGACAAATTTGCTTTTAAACACTTTAAAGAGATTGGCAGCAGATTTACTAAAAGCAATACTGTGATTTCTGGACTGCTGCTTCCATGGCCATGATTGTGGATCTAAGGAAAATGAAATCCCCAACCACTTAAATCTTTTTTCCATGTATCATGATGTTGCTTATTGGTCTAGTTGTGAGGATTTTTTTTTTTTTTTTTTTATGTTCCAAGTGTTTTGAATACTGAAGATGATAGTGTTTAGAATACTAGAAAGATACTTATCTGTGCTTCATTGACTATGCAAAGGCTTTTGACTTGATGGATCGTTAACAAATTATGGATAGCATTGCAAAGAACAGGAGTTAGAGAAGGTTTCATTGTACCCGTGAGGAACCTGTACATAGACAAGAGGCAGCCGTTCATACAGAACAAGGGGATACTATGTGGCTTAAAATCAGGAACAGTGTGCATCAGGATTGCATCCTTTCACTGTACTTACTCAATTTGTATGCTGAGAATCCAAGAAGCTGGACAATATGAAGAACAAAGCATCAGAATTGGAGGAAGACTCATTAGCAACTTGTGATGGGCAGATGACACAGCCTTGCTTGGTGAAAAGGGAAGAAGACTTGAAGCACTGACTGATGAAGATCAAAGACTACAGCTTTCAGTGTTGGCTAGACCACTGAACGTACATACCATGGACTGCTAGAAGAATGAAGAAATCCGACTTGGAAGAAGTACAGCTGGAATGCTCCTTAAAAGCAAGAATGGCTAGACTTCATCTCTTGTGCTTTGGTCATGTTGTCAGCAGGGACAGTCCCTGGAGAAGGGCATCATACTTGGTAAAGTAGAGAGCTAAAAAGGGGCAGACCATCAACGAGATGGACTGACGGTGCTGCAACTGTGGGCTCAAGCATAGCAATGAGTGGGGATGGTGCAGCACTGAGTGGTGTTTCATTCTGTTGTGCGTGGGGTCACTGTGAATCAGAACAGACGTAACAGTACCTAACAACAACACAAGGGCTTGTTGGAGTTGTCCATAAACCAGACACTCATAACCTGGGGATTGCCTATCCTATTCAATATTTTCTGCATAAACATATTTTTATACTTCAGATTATTTCCATAAGAATGAGTCTTAGTAATAAAATGACCAAATTCAGAGGCATGAATATATTAATAGCTTAAAGGAAATTGACAACTTTTTCAAAAATATCAGTTTATATTTCCATCATCAGTGGATAAGGACATTCATCATGTCTCATCAGAGTTTTCAGTTTTACTGTGAGATTTGCTGGTTTGATACCTAAAAATCAGCACTTCAGTGCTGAGAATTTCAATCATGTTAATGAAGAATATTTTTCTTATGTGAATATCCATTCCTATTTTTTTAAGTTTTTATCAGAAGTGGGGTTAATTTTACCAAATACATTCTCAGCATATACACAAAGACACCATATTACATACTAACCCCTAATAGAAAAGTATTATTTTGATTGATTTATGATTTAAATCCATGAATTTTGGGGATCAATCTATTTTTGTCACGGTAGGTTTTTTTTCAAAAATCTATTCCTAGTTTGTTTCCTGGTCTTTTACTAGGACTATACCATCTATTGTATTTAGTTTGCATTTTTTCTTTCATGATCTCCTCAGGTTTTGGTCCCCACTTGTGTTAGTTTTGTGAAATTAA